TGGGCAGGTCCCTGGAGAAGGTGGCGCCCCCGCCCCGCGCGTCCCCCAGCCCTGCCCCCACCCCGCCCGGGCGGGCGTGTGCGGACGTGTCTCGGGCGTGACCTCGGAGCAGCTGCGCCACCGCTCAGCCCCGCGGCGGGAGAAACCCGAGCTCCCAACAAAACAGTTCCATCTTTGGCAAGCCCTCTGGTATTTAAGGCGCTGCCGGTGGGGAAAGATGCCGCGTGCCTGAGACGCTCTGGGAACTCACGAGCTTTGCTGCCCTGGTTTTACGTTTCTGAAGCGTCTGAACATCTGCAAGGGAACCTCCCGTGGGTGGCGGGGGGCCGGGGGCCGGGGGCCGGGGGGCGGGGCGAAAACAGAGAAGGCATCTTGGGAAGACTCGAGGGAGCCTGCTTCCTCGTCAGCGTTGGGGGAGGAGGGAGAGGGGCGGGGGGGGGGGCGGCGCCTGGAGGTTTCTTTGGCTCTTTCTTTTCTTTTTCCCTTTTCTGCAGGTATCTGTGGGGTCCCCGAGGGTCCCCAAGGACGAGATCTCCCTCCCCCAAAGCTGAGACAAGTTTTCCTAATGCTGAACTGCCTCCACCTGCATCAGGTCCCGGGGTGCAAAGCTCGAGTTGCCAGAAAAATGATGGATTCTCTTCCGGGAAGAAGTTTGAGGCCACATAAAGTAACTAACGTTGTTGGCTTACTCTGTGCTAAGCATTTTAATGCAGCGATTCATTTATTCCTCACAACAACCCTATGAATCTTGTGAAATAGGAATTCTTACCATCCCTGCTTTGTAACAGACCGCAGAAGGTGCGCAGAGAGGTTCAGCAACTTGCTCAGGGTCACCCAGCTGGTAAATGGTAGGGCCGGAGTTTAAATAATTGCCCCAGGGCCTGTGCTAGTAACAACCACTGTTCCCACCAGTTGAGAGATGCTGCTTCTAGAATGTCAACGAGGTGGAGCTCTGGAAAGTGTGGAAGTCAGGGCAAGTCAGGACCTTCCTAAATGTTCTGATTTGGTCAGAAAGAGCTGGGGACAAACGGGCTGGTGTATCCAGCCTCACTAGGAACCGTGTATGTGCTGGCTGTTTTGGACATGTGGTGGGTGGTTAACTCTGTCCTGTCACTCTCAGGGAGGGCTCCCTGGCAGTTGGGCTTACCAGAAAGGGATAGTGGCAGGAGGTGGGGATCGTAGTCGGTCTGCTACCGAGTGTGAGTCTGAAAGGAGAAGACAGAGGTTTGAGAGGACATGCCAGGGCCTCGCCTGAGAGTCAGGGAGTGGGGTCAGTCCCACCTTCACTGCCCCAGGAAGTATGCCAGGCACTTGCAGGCCTCCTGCTCCGAAGTCTGGAAGGCCAGTTCATTGATAGCAAGGTTGGCCAGACTGTCAAAGAGTGAGAAGCTGTGCCCCATCCGGGACATCCCTCTCCTGGTATGGAGGCATGGGGAGTGGAATGAGCCATTAGAGGTTGCTCCTGGGGAGAGGGCAATGAAAACGCCAAGGTTCTTGGACAATTTGGGGACTCGTTTCTCTGGGGGTGTGGAAAAGAGCTAAATGCACCACCTCCCCTGTGCACATGCTTTGCCAGGTTCACTTTGCACTGATTTAAATGTCTCTCTAGGCTAACCCTTGCTTGCGGGTTCCACTACCTTTGTGCAAACAGCCCCTACGGTGCCACTTTATGCCCAGCACATTTGCCTTCAGTCAGGCAGGAAGCGCCTTTTCCCCATGACCCCTACCCCTGGAACCTATCGATACAACGAGGGGCCTGACACTGGGCAACTTACAGGAGGTGCCTCCCCACCCACCATCAAAGGACCTTGATAAGGGCACAGAGCAGTCCTGGGGCTATACCTGGGTCCCCTGGACTGTATCTGGGCCTTCCCAGGCCAACCCACAGAGTACAGTACTCCTTCAGACGGACAAGCCAGCGTGGTGGGACATGCATCGCTTTTGTGTGTTCCTTTGTGGCTCCGCCGCTGACTTGCTGTGTGACCTTGGTCAAGTCACTTAACTTTCCTGTGCTTTCGTCTTGTCATCAGCAAAATGGTGATATGCTAATAACCACTTCAGAAGGTTGTTATAAGAATTAAAGTGAGTTCATGCATGCGAAATGTCTGGCACATGGTTAAGTGCTTAATAAATACGGGCTTCTGCTTTGACTGCAACTCTGATTCTCATGCAGCTCTAGGCAGCTTGCTTGACCTCTCTGGATCTCATTGTCCTCATGTGTAAGACTGGTATAATACTATCTGTTTTATTGGATTGTTGTGAGAATTAAACAGTGTTAATTACTATTGTAAAGTTTGCAGTAGATGACTATTCTTTATGTGCTGCTTTAGCCTAGTTTATCGGCCAGGGGATGGCTTGATTTTCAACTATGAAGAAGTTTCTCATTAAGAGCTTCAAACTAGTGACCATAGCCGGCGAGGGTGCTTGGACACTTTGCTTAACCTCAGCCACGTCCCTTTTCCCAGCTGTAAAATAGTATGATAATAACCACCCCCTAGGAATCTCAAGGATATTACAAGGGGAAAATACACAATAATATACAAAGCACTTTGAGCTCCTCTGAAGAGAGACGCACATAAATGGAAGGCGGTGTTCTAAGGTGGAGTAATCACGGGTTTCTCTCCCCTCTTTTTATTTAATTAGGAGAAAACTAGTCATTAAGAAGCCTGGTCTTGTTAAAACTGTGGCCTGGGAAATTGTTCTCTTGGCACCTCATCAGGACTTGTGACATGGCAAGTTTCTGCAAAATGTGGGCAGCAGGGGACCTTCCCGCAGGCTCAGTGACAGGTCTGCAGATTGTGAGGAATTTGCTGTCTGAGGGCCATGGCCTGAGGTGGCTGACGCAGAGCCGGCTTCCCGGTCTCCTGCTCCCCCAGGTCAGCAAGCAGACTGCCCAGCTCAGTCGCGTCACACCCCAGGGTGGCGGAGGGCGGGGGTGGGGTGGGGGTGGGGGCTGAAGCCACCTTATCTGCACGTTTCAGCTTGCCACAGACCGGGATCCAAGGTCTTCCACCATGGGTCCTCTTGGCTCCACTGGGGTGACCTCAGGGCTCTTGGAAGCACCTTCTGTTTGACCTTTTCTCTCTAACTCGGTACACGGATGAAGAAATCTGCCTACTCTCCTTCAAATGGGTCATAGGAGAGTAGGCGCTTGGGTCCTACATTTGCCCTGCACTGTGCCTCTCTTCCTGAAGCAGCCCCCCCCCCCCCCCCGCCCCTTGCTGGAAAGACTCCCTCCTCCCTGCAAGTCCCAAGCCACCCTTTCTCTTGGATTCTCCTGAAAGGCCGCCTCTGCCGGGAAGCCTTCCACAGTCTGTCCAGTCACTGTTGCCCTCTTCCCCTTCTAGACTCTATTCGGTGTGGTGTGGCTTTTGTGTTCGTCCCTGACTCTGGTAGAAGGAAGGGGAGGAAAGTGAGCTGGCGAGAGAAGGACGCCCAGCCAGATGTCACAGCCAGATTTACTAGCACAATGACTCGTGCTGTTTTCCCTGGCAGCATTGACAAAGACAGCAGGAGGTTTTCTGGAAAACCCTGAGATGGGCAGTTCTTTTAAAAAGTATGCATTATTTTAAACATGCAGAAAAGATAATGGGCACTCACGTATCCACCCCGCAGATTGCCAGATGTTAATGTGTCACCGCATTTGCCTTAAACATGTTCTTACACATGCTTTAAAAGAAGTGAAACTTTTAGAGATAGCCAAGGCCCTCCTTCTCCACTGGGTCGCCATTTTCCCTCCCTCCTTGGGGTCGCCACTGCCCTTCATCATTTCATAAGAGGCCCTTCACCTGCCTCTGCCGATGGATTTAGGTGACCAGTAAACTGCTGAATTGTAGTATGTAAAACGTGAACTCCTATCTGCATCCCTTCCTTGCACACATTACCGATACCCAGGAAATCCTCTTGACCCAGCCTTCCCCCAGTCTCCACTGCCACCATGGGTCCAAGCCATCGTTATCTCGCACCTGGACCATTTGTTCCCTACGACAGCCCTAGACATTTTAGAGTCTTAGTGGGATCATGTTACCCCTTTGCTCAAATCCCACTAATGGCTCCTGATGCAACTCAGAGTAAAAGTCGAAGCCCTTGTGGCCCACAAGGCCCCCTATGTGATATCTGCCCCCACTCCCCCGCCTCTCTGACCTCACCCCCACTGAGCCTGCTTCCCTCTCCCTCTCTCTGGTCCAGCCATGCCGTGTGGCTCACTTTTCCTCAGATGCACCAACCTGGCCTTGCCCTGGATTCTCTCTGGCCACTACGCTCTTTTTCCAGATACCCACCTGGTGGAACCTCTCAGGTTCTTCAGTTCGTTGCTAACATTTTACTTCCTAAAGGAGGACAACCTGAAACACCCTAGTTAAAAATGCAACCAATGGCGCGCCTGGGGGGCTCAGTCGGTTAAATGTCTGACTCTTGATTTCGGCTCAGGTCGTGACCTCACGGTTTGTGAGTTTCAGCCCCAGGTCGGGGCTCTGTGCCCAAGGAGACTGCTTGGGATTCTCTCTCTCCCTCTCTCTCTGCCCCTCCCACACATGCTTTCTCTTGCTTTCAAACTAAATAAATAAACAAACATTTTAAGAAAATCATAAACATAATAAAAACGCAACCTCTTCCCTGCCGATACTTCTCTTACCCTGTTGGAATTTCTCTTTGTCCATAGCACTCACTTGCTGGCAAATTGTATACTTACTTATTACATTTATTATGTATTCCCTATCTTTTCCTGCTAGAATGTAAGCTCCATGAGAGTAGAATTTTTGTCTGTTTTTGCTCACTGATGTTTCCTTAATCCCTGCAACAGTACCCAGCACGTACGTGCCCCATATTTGGTGGATGATTGAATGAATGAATGAATGAATGAATGAATATAAACTGTCTTCCTGGAGAGGGGTCAGAACTTTCATCAGATTTTCAAAAATGCCTGTGACACACAAAAAAAGGATAGGAACCACTGACATAGTAAATCATCAACAAGTTTACTGGAAATTTTTGCTTGCCAGGTAGACTGCCTAATGAAGCAGAAGGTCATGAGAAAGTCCTTTTCCTTCTCTGACTTGCGTCTCCCTGGAGAACTACTGCCGGTAGCTCCTGGGACCTCCTTCCCTAGGACTGGCACTGAGTGTCCCTGGATCCAGCCCCGAATGAGGTAGGGAGCCAGGGATGCCTTGATGGAGAGTGTGGGCAAGGGCTTTGGCAGTGGGCAGGTTCCAGAGAAGCCGTAACTTTCTTTACTCCTTCTGTGTCTGGGGGCAGAGGCTGGATGTGGCCAAAGCGTCCTGAGCTTCCTTGGGTGAGCTAGGCAAGATGCCCAGACCAACAGGAGTTCTTCCTGCCTTGTAGGCTCAAGTCTAGGCAAGGAGCAAGCTCAGGAAATCACGTAAGAGCCCCAACACGGGGAGACCAGACGTCTGCCTTTGATGCAGAGAGAGATAATAGGTGAGTGGGGGGAACCTGGAAAGCAAAAAGATACCAAAGGCCATCTGGAGGTGATAGTGGGAGTGAATTGGAGGTGAGTCAGCCAGCTCTCAGGGGAGTTAAAAGACAAGTGGGTAATTGTGGGTGCAGCCGGCGGGTCACACAGAGAAAATGAGGAACAAGTGGTTAATTGGGCCCACAAGCCCAGGATCCCGCCTGTAATTAGCAAATTGCAGGGCTTTGATATTTGCTTTGGTAACAACCTATGTAGTAAATTGCAGGGAGGAAAACTGCACCCCCAACCTGGGAGGTGACCCTGTGTCTGTATTCCCCAAACCACTGTCTCACAAACACTCGTAGGCAGTACACCCATGAGTGCAATCCCAGCATCGGGGTGAGGGGGCCTTGCACCTTTCTGAAGGCTGACAGCAGCCTGTGACACTTTCTGTGTTCCCCTTTACTCCTGGTTTAAGTTTTGGCCAACTCAGAGGTGGAGTTGAGGCCTCATTCCCTGGTATGGGCTCCCACCATTCACACACTGTTTCCAACGTTCTCTTGAGCCACACAGCCCCTACTGTAGAGTTCCTCTAGCCAGAGATATGACCTAGGAGTGGCTATGGGGAATTCCAATGTGAGTGTCATAGGATTGTCTGGGGAGAGACAAGAGAGCCCTGTTGCAGTGTTGTTGAAATCTGTCCATGAGGATGGCCTGTGCTGGTCCCTGATCAGAGATTGGCCTTCACAGATTTCATATCTGTGTTTATCTTTGCAAGCTTCTGAGACGTTCTAACCAGAGTGAAGACCAGAAGTATAGGAAAATTGCTTTGGGATTGTCATGGTAAAACCTTAGGAATTGCCACAGATGCAGAGAGACCGGTGAACACATACATGGAAAGAGTCCTATGCAAAAGTGTCAGGAGACCTGGGTTTGAGTTTGGATTCTCTACTCACTCTTTGTTGGGTCTTATCTAGTCACTTAAACACTTATACATCATCTTTGTCAGTTACTGGTCTGTTTTTATTGACTTATTTTTTCTCTTGGTTATGGGTGAACATTTTCTTGCTTCTTTATATGTCTAATAATTTTTTATTATGTGGTAGACATTGTGTAGCTATGTTGTTAAGCATTTGGACTTTGCTATCTTCTTTTAAAGGTGTTAGACTTTGTTTTGGCAGGCAGTTAATTTATTCAGGAAATAGTTTGATCCCTTTGAGTCCTGTCTTTAAGCTTTGTTATGGAGGGTCCAGAGTAACCGTCACTCGAAGAATAGTTCAGCCACTTTACTCAGGTGTAACTCCTCTAGGCTCTCCATTGAATGCCCCAGGTGTTGCCACAGACTCTCCACTTTGGTCGGTACACAACCATTTCCACACCTTGAGAGAGCTTTGGGTTGTTCAGCTTACCACTATTTTCTGGTCATTTCTTTTGCTTGGTCTTCTTGAATTTCACTTTATACACCCATGACCTAATACGCAGCAGACTCAAGAGGATATCTCTGCAGATTTGTGATGTTCTTTTCTGTGTATCTCTTCTCCTTTCTGGAATTGATCCTCAACTCCTAGCCACCTCAGTCTTCTCAAGTCTCTGGACTCTGTCTCCCCTGCTTAGCAAGGCTGCTAGACTATGCTTGTGATTTCCAGATGGAAATTGCCTCCCAGCATAAATCCAGAGTTACTTTAAGGCTCAGCTCATTGATCTTTTCTCTTGGGAATTACAGTTTTACACTGCTTATTTCCCAGTGTCTTAAAGTGGTTGTAATTCTATCAAGACTAGAAGTTGAAGTCTTCTCAAGTTAATAAAACTGCAGTTTCCCCGAAGTGTAGAAACAGAACATGCTGATATTTGCTTCGAAAGTTAGTTATGATAATTAAACTATGTAAGAGATCAGAAAGCATATATAATAATGCATAAAATAAGCAATGAAGCATAAAATAAGAACACTTAACCAATACTAGTTTCACCTTCTTTTTTCTTTGACATCAATAGTATAAATGGATTTAGCATTTTCATGAAATTGTAGAATTCTAGATCTGCAAGGGATTTGCTGCAAAAAGATGAGTTGGTCCAAATGCCCCATTTTACAGATGAACAGATAGAGGTTTAGTGAGGAGAAGTGATTTTTCCCAAGACCTTATGACCCGTTAGTAGAAGAAAGACTGGAACTCAGGTGTCCTAGCTTTGAGTCCATGGGGCATCCATTCATTCAGATCATTTATTGAATATTTACTAAGTTCAGAGCACTGAACTAACTGCTTTATTGCCTCTATATAATGTCCTGGTTTGCAGAAATGTTTAAGAATTGATTTGGGACCTTTATAGTAGATTCGGTAAATCAGCGTATGATTGTGGGCTTCTCAAGAGTGGATGGATCTGAATGGCGTTAACTGGAACAGCCTCCATTGTCTAATGCAAAATGCTTTGGACGTTCTAAATGCCTCCAGCATGTAGCTCCCTTGAGATATGCCGTTGTAGTGCTTCAGACATATGAACATGTTAGGTAATTACTGTAGCTTTATGGCTCCATCAACCGTGGTTATAGGGCAACTAAGGATTTGCTCTTCATTCAGCCATTCTAGAGACTCAATGCAGAAATGGATGAGAAAACTTTACAGAAAGTGATCAGGATGTTGCCAGATGTGAAAAAAAGAGCACCATATATGGTGTCAGGAGGCCTGCATCCTAGACCTAGACTTGTTACTTCTCTTTTCTGGGCCCTGATTTTCCTATCTATAAGTGAAGTGCAATAAACTGGGTGGCCTACAATGTGCATTCTAGCTTGGAGAGTCTTTATATCTGGAGCTCTATGCCGTGCTGTCCCTAGTCATACACATGATGTGGCTTAGGGGTGGTGGTGGGCAGGAGCTGAGTGTGGATGATGTGGAAAGGCATTCCAAACGAAAGGGGGAATGAGAATCGAGGTGATGAAATAGGGGTATGGCTAAAATGGAATTTGTGATCTGATCCACAGCTGGGATGTAGAGAGGAATTTGAGGACCCATGAGCAAGCGCCCTGGAACCCCTGTTTGAGAAACTCTGCATTAAAAGTTGAAAAGTGTCACTTGGTTTGTCCATCCAACATCAGAGATTGCCAACACAAGTGTAAATGATGCAGAGATTAAAAAAGAGAGGTATGGGGCGCCTGGGTGGCACAGTCGGTTAAGCGTCCGACTTCAGCCAGGTCACGATCTCGCGGTCCGTGAGTTCGAGCCCCGCGTCGGGCTCTGGGCTGATGGCTCAGAGCCTGGAGCCTGTTTCCGATTCTGTGTCTCCCTCTCTCTCTGCCCCTCCCCCATTCATGCTCTGTCTCTCTCTGTCCCAAAAATAAATAAACGTTTGAAAAAAAAAAAAATTAAAAAAAAAAAAAAAAAGAGAGGTAGGATTGATCAGAAGGTGGATATTCTCGCTGTCTTTCCTTAAGATCACCTCTTGGGGCCCCTGGGTGGCTCAGTCGGTTGAGCGTCCGACTTAGGCTCAGGTCATGATCTCACAGTTTGTGAGTTCGAGCCCTGCGTCGGGCTCTGTGCTGACAGCTCAGGGCCTGGAACCTGTTCAGATTCTGTGTCTCCCTCTCTCTCTGCCCCATCCCCACTCATGCTCTCTGTCTTAAAAATAAATAAAACATTAAAAAAAAATTAAATAAAAAAATCACCTCTGACACAAAAATAGAAAATTTCAAAATATTACATAGAACTCCTCTCTTCTCCGAGAACAATGCTCAGAGTTTTGTAGCCTCTGGTTTGCAAACCAGTGGTGAAAGGGCAGAGTGGTAGGTAATATAGGACATGCTGATTAGGAGGAGATTCTAGCCACTTTGAATACCCGGCTTCAGGATTGGAAATTATTCTGTAAGTTGTGAGAGTGATTGAAACTTCACGGGCAAAAGACTTCTCTGTTCAGCTCTGTGTTTCAGCTTTCTCTGGTTATGGCATGGAGGAGGGACTGGAGGGCGTAGAGACGGGACTGGCCGGGACACTGGCACAATAGCCAAGGTGACAAAGGATGAACGACAAAACAAGGAAGACCCTGACACAGGGCGAGTGATGGAAGGACTCTGAGAATGAAGAATAGTTGGGACCTGTCTGCTGACGGACCGGAGGTGAGGGAGGAGCCTGCATTGCTTCTGTGTGTTCACGCCACATAAGGGAGAGCATGGGGATTGCAGAGCCCCCCCTGAACCCCCCCCACCAAGCCTGAGCAGTGGTTCAAAGTCGTCAAATCTCAGTGTTCATTAAACTCATTTGGAATTTCTTCTATGGCAATAGAAGGATGAGTGCACGTGTTCCCTGGAGCTTTTGTAGGGACTGGTGGATTGGTATATATGAAAGCGCCTAGGATGTGTTAGCATGGGGTTCCCAGGTAATGTTAATTTCATCCATCCAGCTATTTATTCAAATCCATGCAAATTTGGAAGGAAATAATTAGTCCCTTCAGGACCGTGTCAAACATTTCAAATTCATTTCGGGTGAAGAGATGACGGCTGAGGTGTCTCTGTGGGGTCAGCCCACTCCTGGTCACTGGGCTGGGCCACAGTTCAAGGCCCGAAGCTTGTTTCTGGCAGCATCAGGTCCCTTTCTTTCCCTTCCTTTCATTACCACCCTCCCTCCCCCCGCCCCAGGCAGTCTACTTCTAGGTCTCTAATGTAGAAAATGACAGAAAGAAAGTCAAAAAGAAAGAAAGGCAGGAAGACAGGCAGGAAGGAAGGAAGGGAGGAAGCAAAGAAAGGAAGAAGGAAAACGAGCATTAAATCGATGAGTTTATTTTCTGTTGGCGTCTTCTGAGGACACACCCCTGCCAGGCATGGATCCACAGATGTGTAAGAGATCGTGCCAATTCTCTTCTCCAGGACTGGACAGGAGCACCGGGATCGAAGCCCACAGGGTGGCCTTGCCTGGGGGGAGGCATCCGGCCCTGCTGACGGGGCCCCATGGAGCCTCACCTCAGCTACAGATCCTTCATGTGTGAGCAACACCAGGCCCTCTTCCTCGGTCTCCTGCTTGATTTGCACCTCGCTCAAATCATCCAAATCCTCTCCACTGGCCTGTCTTTTTCTCAGCTCCAGAGGACCAGTGTCCCGGAGCAGGTGAGACCCCTCACTCAGCTCTTTAGTCATGACTGCAGCGCCAGGGGCAGAGCTGCTTGCTGGCTGGGTAAAGCCAGAAGGAGGGAGCACTGTCAGGAGAGCAGGGATTTTGGCAGGAGCACAATGAGGAGAGCGGGGAGCACCATCAGGAGAGCTGAGATTTCAGCCATGCCAGTTCTCCCCTTTCCCAGTCTCCTCTCTGTCTGTGACCCAGGTCACATATCCTCTGGCAAAGTGACTGCAGCTACTCTCTCGGAGTCAGAGAAAGCCTGCAGGCTCTGACTTCCTTTCTTTGCTTCCAACCTAAACTGGACTTGCACTTTTACACACCGACCGTTGAGCGGGCTGCGTCTAAGTCCTTTCCCCTCAATCTGCTATGGCTGCTTTGACAAGGAGGATGGCAGAAGTGACCCCTAGATTCCCAAACTGGGTCATAAAAAAGCCATGTAGCTTCCGCCGTATGCGCTGGAGACTTCGCTCTCTGATCCACAGTCCCCGCTGAGCCCAGCCTTCTGACCCACCCACGAGCCTGCCATGCGAGTCAACCTAACTCACACCCTTCAGAGCAGCCCGCCCGCCCGCTGAATGCCGCCGAAGAGCTGCGGCTGGTGCCATGTGGAACAGAGCGGCTTGGCCAAGCCCCGCCTGAATTCCCGACCCATAAAAATCATGACTCATGAGATCTCATGAAATGGTAGTTTTAATCTACTGAATTTTAGGATGGTTTGATATACAGCAATAGACAACCGGAATCCTGGACATCGATGGCAGAAACCTTGCTGATGGCTGTTGACAAATTTAGGCCGATTTCATGTGATTTACCTCATCCGTCTGCTCCTGACCATGAGAATTCCCTTTTGCTTAAAACGTGGATCGAGTTACCTCTTCGCGGAGCCAAAACCTCACCTGGGTTCGTGGACGGCTCCGAGGCACAGCAGAACTTGCAAGCTTCCGGGGTCTGGTTTGGTTGTCAGTAAGCGCCCGCATCCAGCCACACACCCCCGCTTATGCCAACAAATGGCTGCATATGCTTCCCTCATCCTAATGATGTGCAAAACTTGTCACAAATTGCAAGTGTGGCTGCAAAAGCCATTTTTTTGTGGATCCGCATAAGCGATGTGGAGACAACATTCGACTAGCATCTCTACATTCAGAAAGGGTATCTTCCTATTTGTTGGTCTGCACCTACCTTCACATGTGGAGTATGGGATTTTCACACGGCTGGTCACTGTCATTTCTGTCCTTAGTTCACAAGGAGAGCTGGAAGAGGGACATTTTATTTTATTTTATTTTTTCAACGTTTATTTATTTTTGGGACAGAGAGAGACAGAGCATGAACGGGGGAGGGGCAGAGAGAGAGGGAGACACAGAATCGGAAACAGGCTCCAGGCTCTGAGCCATCAGCCCAGAGCCCGATGCGGGGCTTGAACTCACGGACCGCGAGATCGTGACCTGGCTGAAGTCGGACGCTTAACCGACTGCGCCACCCAGGCGCCCCAAGAGGGACATTTTAAAATGAATAGGAAGTTGGTGAGAACTGAGGGGGACCAAATCATCGGCCCATTTGTCAGCCTTGATTTGGAGAAAGTTCCCCGTTTCCTGAGTGGGGTGAGTGTAGGGGTAGGGGTGTGCCATGTCCCTGTGATCAAGTGGCGTGCTTGTGTTGTTCTTCTCCCAGGATCCAGACAGGACCGGCGTGAACTTGCAGTCAGAAGTGTGTGGGCTCAGGCCTGGGATATATCATATGCTCGCTTGCTATGTGACCTTAGATGAGTTATTTAATCTCTTTGAGTCTTAGTTTTCGTATTAGTCAAAAGGATACAGTTTTAGGGGCGCCTGGGTAGGGGTGGCTCATTGGGTTAAGCATCTGACTCTTCATTTGGGCTCAGGTCATGATCTCACGGTTGTGGGATTCATGGAGCCCTGTGCTGGCTCTGTGCTGAGCATGAAGCCTGCTTCAGACTCACTCTTTCTCTCCCTCCCCCCACCGCCCGCCCCTCCTTTGCCAGCACACTCTCTCTCTCTCTCTCTTAAAAAAAAAAAAATTAAAAAGGATACAATTTTTTTTTTAATTTTTTTTTTCAACATTTATTTATTTCTGGGACAGAGAGAGACAGAGCATGAATGGGGGAGGGGCAGAGAGAGAGGGAGACACAGAATCGGAAACAGGCTCCAGGCTCTGAGCCATCAGCCCAGAGCCTGACGCGGGGCTCGAACTCACGGACCACGAGATCGTGACCTGGCTGAAGTCGGACGCTTAACCGACTGTGCCACCCAGGCGCCCCAAAAGGATACAATTTTAACCAATTTCACAGGAAATAAGAGGCTCTTAGTTTGGGTTTTGCCAGAAGCAGACCCTGGGACAACAAACGGCCTATTGGGGAGGAGGAGGGAGCACAGGTGGAGGTATGGACAGGGCCACAAAGGAAGGAAGCCAACCAGTAAAGTGCCTGTCATTCAACCAGCTATCACTGTGGGCACCTGCAGCTTAATCCCCCAGAGACACTGCTGGAAGAGGCCTGGGGAAATCGAGATGGTTGGTCACCCTCACTCATCTGCCAAAGTATTAAATATGGATGTTGTTTGTAATCAGAAAATGAGAAGGAAGAGCTCCATAGATCTTCGAGGTGCCGAGGAGAAAGTTTCTAGATGTGTCTCCAAAGTCAAGTTTCTTGGAAACTTGCAGAGAAAGTTGCAGTGGAGGGAAATTTGAGCCAGGAGACCCAGAGTCCCATTTATGAACTCTACACGGTGTGGCTTTGGAAATTACTGGAACCTCTCTGAGCCTCAGTTTACTCACCTGAGAAATGATAGCCCGTCCTGTCTTGCTCACAGGGCCTGAGGCTGGAATCAGGCAACATAATGGAATTGGAACGTTTATGTATTTGCGGACACTCAGCACATCTGATGCAGGGTGCCTCAGAGCCACAGTCACCATAGAATACTGTACGTTTAGGTCATCTTGATGAGTAAGTGGGAGGTCAGCCCCGTGGGAATACCCAACATCTCTTCACACGACTGTAGTACCTTGTAGGAGAGTCATGGGATCCTGTTAACTGATAGACAAGGCACGACTGCCCTGGAAACTGAGAACACATCCATCCTTTCAGAAGGTCTCCAAGGCACAAGATTTGTCCCCAGAAACCCAGAGGAAGCGATATCCTGATGAAAAGGAAATATCCAAGTCATCGTAACTCTTATAGCCCAAGACTCTGTAATGACCTGCTTGCTTCCTTCCACTGCCTCTCTCCTACCTTGCTCCTGTGGCCTGGGTCCGTTGCCTAGAAACCTGGCTTCTGATGTCACCTGCAGCCTCCCTCCTTCCCCCTCCATTCAGGGCACGGTGGCCTTTTTTTTATTACTTTAGTGTCATACATCAGCCGTGCTTGCTGGTGCTGACCTCTGCTGTGGTCTCAACTCAATGTCAAGACTTGGCCCTGGACCTGGTATCTCCCACCTGCCTTTTCCAGAATCAGGTCTATAGATGTGAAGCCTTGGAAGTTGGGGCATCATGACTTGGGCTCCAATAGATTTCTTTCTTTTTTTTTTTTTTTTTTTAAATATTTTAATGTTTATTTATTTTTGAAAGAGAGAGAGAGCACGAGCAGGGGAGGGGCAGAGAGAGAGAGGGAGACACAGAATCTGAAGCAGGCTCCAGGCTCTGAGCTGTCAGCACAGAGCCTGATGCGGGGCTCGAACTCACAAACTGTGAGATCATGATCTGTGCCAAAGTCGGACGCCTAACCGACTGAGCCACCCAGGTGCCCCGGGCTTTAATAGACTTCTGTGTGCCAAGTCTCCTCTTTCAGGGGGCTCCAGGGATTGGCTGCTAAAGGACATAGAGAGAAGGTTTGCATGACTCTTCTGTAGCACATTATGGGGCTTCCAGATTAATGGCTTTCAAACTTCAGCATGCTGAAGAACCTAGGGCACATGGGTTAAAATCATGTGGTTTCTGGGTCCAGTCCCCCAGAGTTTCTGATTCAATACACTGTAAGAATATGGTTTTTTAAATGTTTATTTATTGAGAGAGAGAGGGAGGGAGGGAGGGAGGGAGAATGAGTGGGGTAGGGGCAGAGAGAGGAGTGAATCCCAAGCAGGCTCTGAGCTGTCAGCACAGAGCCCCACGCAGGGCTCGAACTCATGAACCACGAGATCATGACCTGAGCTGAAATCGAGAGTTGGATGTTCAGCT